TTCGCGTTCTGTCATTTCTTTCTGTTAATAAATCTTACAAAGACCAAATGAAGAAGAATACATTTTACCGGTTGTTACTACACTTTCTTCGCTCCTAGAGTTTTTCCCAAGAACCCTTCTTATTAGAGCTGGGTCTTTGGCTAATTACAGGAAGCGCTCGTTGATTGCATTAATAACCATTTTACCGTTGATTATCGGGGAGTTGAATTTGCCTTGCCCGCTGGGTGTCCCACGTAGCATACTAGTCATTGATTCATAGTAATATTCGTCCACTATTTTAACACTTTTTTAGGAATTCTTAATAACAGTCCGTGAAATGAGGGCCTAGCAGCAAAGTGGGCAATTATGATCAAAAATCTTATAAAATGTTCCGATAAAATGGTCTGTCGATCAGTGAGCAAGTTCCCTAATGAGTTTCTGCGCTGATAATAGCAGTGTCACTGCTCGAGCTCCTTCCAACACGTGCAGCATGCGGCAAATAATATTCACCGTGCCTCAGCATTTTGTTTGATTTTATGATCGCTGGCTTGTTCAAAATAAGCGCAGTAATTGTCTTTTCGCAAAAGCAAACTTTTTCAAACGCATTATCAGATTCAAAAGTGTAATTGTTGTGGCTTTATATGTTGGTCGTTTTTGGAAGATCATTCTTGGCGTAGTGCTCGCTTGACTACCTAAAACGCAACGCAACTCCAGGTGATAGAAAAGAATTTTTTGAGAGTCACAGTATTCGAACAGAATTGGCTGATGGAAAGTTCTTCAGAAGTAAAAATTTTTGTCGGATAAGTGTTTACGTGTGTGGATCGCTGTGTGGCGTAGTGCTTTGAGCGTACGCGCACTGTAGAGAAGCAAAATCAATTTTATGACTTACTGATAATGAATCGTGCAAATAGCAAATAAACAGCACGATGTGTGGCGCTTATAATCTATCGAGTCTGTGAGCTTGCCGAGCAAAAGTCGTTATGCAGAGCATGGTTGATGAGGGCCAGAGTATATCAGACGAGGTCGAGTCCTTGAAGAGTCCGTCGAGAAGACCTGGTGCAGTGGTCCCGGTGAAGAAGAAGAAGACTGAGAGCCGTTGCCCCGGAGGAGTGAAGTGAGACCACGAAGAATGGTGGGGAGGTTTATAAAGGATGTAGGAACCGCCCCAAAAGAGGGGTTGAAAATGTGGAAATGATAATTAAGGTAAATTGAAATGTGAAAAGGGAAAATGGAAACAAGAGTTCTTAAGGGGGTTAAAAAGAGGGAATGAAAGGAAAAATAAGGAAGTAAAACGGCTGAGAATGCAAGCGCATTCCAAAATAGGAGCAAAATGGGACACAGGGAACGAATTTATGATTAGGTTTTTGAGGGTGTAAAAAAAAGAAGGACGAAAATGTAAAAAACTGTAAACACGAAAAAATGCAAATTGAATTATGATTCATAAGGTAAAAGAGGGAAAAGAACAAAGAAAAAAATATATATAATTTTGTATTAAGAACAGTCAATTTTACACAGACATAACTTAGTGGACAGCGCACCGGCTGGCAGTGCGAAGATGCGTTCTGCGCACAGTTCCCCCGCAAGCTTTTATGCATTTTGTGCTGTGTAACAGCAGTACAAAACGCATATTTTCATGGGGCTGTGCGTGTGTGTGCCCCATATTTTGTCCCGCATTTTCTATTCGAGGACCACAAAAACTAGGCAGATGAAATTTTAGTATAGTGTTCCCCGCTAACGTGTGACGCGGCAAATTTAAATTCAGCCTTCCCTTACCCGCGAGTAATACGTACGATCCCGTAAAATTTTTGTCGGGTAAAATTGTTATTACGGGAACCATGAAAGCTAGAGGGCTGAAAAAAAAATTTCCGCTCATATGTTACCCAAAAAGTTTAAATTCAGCTTTCCCCTGCCCGCAAGTAACATGTGCAGCCACTTGAAAATTTTTGGCGGCTAAATTATTATCTCGGGAACCACGGAGTCTAGGAAGCTGAAATTTTAGGGTCGTGACCCCCTGCCCACAAACGATTTTGGAAATTCAAATCCAGCGTTCTCACGCTCTCGGGTATCACTTACCGGCACCGTGAAGATTTTTGCGGATAAATTATTATCTCGGGGGCCGCAGCTTGAAAGCTAAAATTTTAAGGTAATGACTCCTGCCCACGAACGATCTTGCAAAATTATATTCAGTGTTCCCGCTTTCTTGGGTATCCCACGGGTCAGTGGAAATTTTTGTGGATAAATTATCTCGGGAATCACAAATCCTACAAAGCTGAAATTTAGAGTGACCCCTTGCACGTACAACCTTACAAACTCAGCGTTCCCGCGCCCTCGGGCAACACTTACGGCCTCGTGGAAATTTTGGCGGGTAAACTATTATTTCGGGAATCGCGGAAAGATATTCACCCTTCAAGGTTTCAAATTCAGCTTTCATGCGCCG